GGAGATCTGGGCTCTAGACATGGATTTGCCACAGACTCACTACATGCTGTTGGGCAAGCCACTTAACTTTTATGGGCCTCAGTTTCCTGTAAAATGTGAGGGTTACACCAGACCTATGCATTTCAAAATTGGGATAGGAGAGGGGATTCAAATCATCCATTCCCCAAATGCTGAAATCACACCGTCTCCCCTCACAACCATGGTGAGCCAGTGTTACGGACAGGGGTTTCTGGTACCCCTTAGCTGTGATGGAATTTTAAAGGAGTCAAAGCACTGGGCTAGACAATTCTAAATCTCTATCTGTGACATCTCACAATTCTATTACACATCAGGCTCTATAATAAATAATTTAAGTAGTAGTTATAAAAACACAGGCTTTATAAGTAGCACTGTTGCCTTACCTCTGTGAGTTTTACCTTAGTTTACTCAGTTTCTCAGATAAAATGTGGCAGCAATAAATACTCCACAAGGTTGTCCTTGGAATTAAACGTTAAAGTATGTAAAATGCTTAACTTTGTGCCCAGCACACAGTAAAGAGACATAAATGACAGCCCCTATTATTATTATTTGTACAGAGATCTACAATGCAGGGTAGAAAGTCATCAGTGCCCTTACCACAAGACAGTGTATAAAAGGAACTATGAGAATTCCAACTTTTGTCCCTTGCGAAGAAGAAAGCCACCTTGACGGACAGGATAAACAGCTGAGTTCTGACACACACAGTGACTGTCCACAAGCGGAAACGTGAAGCGGGGGCTAACGTGTTTCAAGTGAAAGTGAGAACGCTTCAGAATTGCCATGATTTTACCCCAGTACCTATGCTCTACTAAGTCCGAAAAAACGAAAACAAAGAAAAAACCCCTGCCCTCTTTCCTCGCCTGCTTCTGGTCATCCCCATCAGGACTCCACCTTGAGCACGATGCTGAGGTCTTGTACCGGCTCCTCGTTGAGGTGCAGGCGGCCCGCCCGGACGGCGGCCTTGTAGTAAGCCAGGGGCTGGGCTCGGAACTCGGTGTTGAAGACGTGCAGCAAGCTGTGGCCCACCCAACGGCCTTTGCAGTAGGTCCGGAAGTCAAAGTAATAGGGCCGCACCTTGCGAAGGCCGTCCTCGAAATAGTAGCTGGTCTCTGCAAAGTGCTCATCCCCGAAGCTCACCCCAGAGCGGCGCTTCTTCGGGGGCGGCACGACGCGCTCCCCGGCTGCGACCCGCCGCTTCTTCCGCTTGCCTGGGCCCCGGGCTGCAGCCGAAGCCTGCTCCCTGTCTCCTTGGGTCCGCTCCATTCCCGGACCCGCCGGCTCCCGGTTCCCTGGGAGGCCCTCACCCTTCGCCTCGCCACCAGCGTCTCCGTTCTGCTGAGCCGGATCTCTCAGCTCGCCTGCTGCCTCAACCGGAGTCGAGAGGGTTTCCGCCATCAGGCCCTTACAGCCACTCCAAGTGCTGGCAAAGCTGAGGTGCCGGAGATGGTAGCGCCACTGCGGGAGAAGCTCGAGCCAGCCGCGGCCGCCAAGCCTCATAACCGCACGGCCCTCGCTCCGGGGTCGCGATCTGAGGACGTCACTGGGCACCAGCCAATCAGTGAGGCCCAGTCCCCAGGCTGGGAGTCTGCAATGAATGAGTGAGTGAGTGCACGAGTGAGTGAGTGACTGGAGTTGAGTTAGATGAGTTGCGTGAGTGGAGAGTTGAGAGGCTGTGATGTTGGCTCAGCAAAAGTGACCTTACGCAAACGTCCTTCTACGAGGGAGAAGCAATGTTACTTCATAAAAGAAATCTTTGGGATTGCCTGTGTAAAAGCCGTGGCAGGAGTTGATCGTGTAGATTCTGTATAGATATCCTCAGTCTCATGGGTCTGAAGAAACGTTTTGAAAGGAGCTTGATTTAAAACAAAACAAAAACCCCAAACAATTGGAATAAAGGTTACTAAACACTATGAATAAAGCCAGGCGCGGTGGCTCACGCCTGTAATCCTAGCACTCTGGGAGGCCGAGGCCGAGGTGGATCGCTCAAAGTCAGGAGTTCGAGACCAGCCTGAGCAAGAGCGAGACCCCCGTCTCTACTAAAAAATAGAAAAAAATGATCTGGACAACTAAAAATATATAGAAAAAATTAGCCGGGCGTGGTGGTGCATGCCTGTAGTCCCAGCTACTCGGGAGGCTGAGGCAGAAGGATTGCTTGAGCCCAGGAGTTTGAGGTTGCTGTGAGCTAGGCCGACGCCACGGCACTCACTCTAGCCCGGCAACAGAGTGAGACTGTGTCTCAAAAAAAAATAAAAACACTGTGAATATACGAAAAACCACTGTATTGTATATTTTAAAACGGTGAATATTATAGTATGTGACTTGTATCTAAATAAAGCTGTTGTATATGTGTTTAACACATACACACACAGCCCAGAAACAATGTTTTCACCCCTCTCCTTAATCCCTCCTTAATCCTAACAGCATGAGAGGGTTTAGACTTCTCTCATTTGCCTCCCATACGCTCCCATCCTGAAATTAAAACTGCAAATGGATCAGATGACGGTACTTGCCAAGATTCTTAAATGCAAGATACTAAAACCAACTCTGGTTAGCTTCATCAGAGAGGGAATTATGGAAAGGATATCAGTGCCTCATAGAATTCACAAGAGATCTCAATAACAGACTCAGACGAGGGGCCAAATTAAGGGAAGCCAGGGCCTTTGAGAACTAGACACCTGATGCCAGGGAAGAAACCCAGTTGGAATGCTGTAGCTATCAGACACTATGTTGTGCCCAAGGACTCTCTGTCCCGCAGCCCTGCTACCCCTTGGAAATCCCTAAATCTCCCTATGTCTCTATGTCCCTCTCTCAAGGTTCAGAGTCCTGCAGGGGAGGCTTTCATCAGCCAAGCCTGGGTCACTGGTTTGAGCCCTCATTTCCAGGGTGCCTGTAGATAGAAGAATCTAACCTTCTTAAGTTTCCAGAGTGGGATTCCCCCAAATAGGTAGATATTTGGATGCTAGGCTGCCAAAAAAGGGACAAATGTCCAGTCCAATTCAGGAGACTGAGCATTAGCCTTCACTGGGCCTTTGTAATATAAAATGCCACTGTTGATTTAGGGCATTCTTATCACATGCATTAGCACTCTGGAGAGGAGAAAGGGAAACTTTTTTTAGCTAAATTCCTTCTTCAAGTCATCAGTCTCACCAAACTAATTGAGGGACTTCAGCTGACACTCTTATTCCAGAGCAGTCACAGCTACAGAACTCAATATGCTGAAAAGCCTGATTCACGACTCCCTTCTCAAAATGAGAGTTAGAATTTTCCACTGATTGTGGGGTGCATTAGAACCAAACCGCTTCAAAGGAGAGACACCATCTCTCGAGTGAGTCACCTTATTAAGGTATTCACAATGAGAGTAGCACCTTATCCAAAAGAAAAGTATGTATTCTTAGCTAGCGTCTCTGCTTCATAGGATTGGAGTGGGAGAATTAAATGAGTTAATTCGAGTAAAACACTTAGAATAGTGCCTGGCAAAACTACGGAGATAGAAAACATATTAAAATCTTGTTCCCTTACTGTAGGCAACCGTAAAAAATAAATCTTGTTCCCCTCCCCTTCTGACCTGCTGAATGAGAATCAGCATTTTAACGTGATCCCCAGGTGATCGGTCTGCCTATTAAAGTTTGAGAATCACTGGCATAGACCACGTAGAGTAGACATTTGTCATACTCTATGGACATCCAGCATTTTCTGAACACTCTTCTTTCAAGTAGGGAATTTCTCACATTACATTACTGCCTCCAAGAGGTGAAAGCCCTCCCAGCTTCTCTTGCAGCTTGGGCATAGGCATTTGACCTGGACTCCATCTCTTTAGGCACAGGCTTTGGTTCATACAGCAGTGGAAGAAGGCAGAGTGTGAAATCCATGTCTGACAAGGTAGCATTGGAGGCATCTGATTTGGGAGGCTAATGGTAGGGGAGGTTCTTGCATCCAGTGCCCAGTCAATGATGCCAGCTGTAGTGGCAGTGACAGTGGGGTGTTCCCTGAGCAGTCCCTCAGTGAGATTTAGACACTCTTTCTGGCTGTATAGACCTAAAACTTGACTCTCTGCCCACGTTGAGATTCTGTGAACTACTAAATATTCTTCAATCCTGTGCTGTACAGTAGGGTCACCATTAGCCACATGTAGCTATTTAAGTTTAAATTAATTAAAATAAATTAAGCCACGTTTCAAGTGCTTAATAGCCACATGAAGCTAGTGGGCTACCTTATTGGACAGGGCAGACACAGGACATTTCAGTCATCACAGAAAGTTCTGTTGGATAGTGCTGCTTTAATTAATTTTGTTTACTAGTTAAACTGGTTAGAATTAGTTCTGTTGTTTGAACTAAGAAATCCAACTAATTTACTACGATAAGGACTTAAGTCTTTATTTTAAGAACAACAGGAAATCAATCATCACAGAATTTTTGGGTGGGTGTGTTTGGGGTGGGGGTGAGAGAGAGAGAGAGAGAGAGAGAGGATCTGATTTCTATTCCAAAGGGATCACCCTGGTTGCAACACAGAGAAAGGACTGGAGAGGGAATCACAGGTTTATCTCTAGTTCGGTGTGGTCCTTGACCATGAGGGTTCTAGCTCAAATATTCACACACCAATTTTTGAACATATGCCAGACTTGGTTCTGGAGATAGGGAGGTAAGAAAAACATGGTTCCTGATCTAAATGAAGGCTTAGGCTGGTTGAGGAGACATTAAAAAACATATTAGTGGCTGGGCGCAGTGGCTCACGCCTGTAATCCTAGCTCTCTGGGAGGCCGAGGCGGGTGGATTGTTTGAGCTCAGGAGTTCAAAACCAGCCTGAGCAAGAGCAAGACCCCGTCTCTACTAAAATTAGAAAGAAATTAATTGGACAACTAAAAATATATAGAAAAAATTAGCCGGGCATGGTGGCGCATGCCTGTAGTCCCAGCTACTCGGGAGGCTGAGGCAGAAGGATCACTTGAGCCCAGGAGTTTGAGGTTGCTATGAGCTAGGCTGACGCCACGGCACTCTAGCCCGGGTAACACAGTGAGACTCTGTCTCAAAAAAAAAACAAAAAACATATTAGTGCTAATCAGACTGCAGTGAAGAGAGAGCTCAAGGTAGAGGGCTGCTGACTGGCCTCACATGGTTTCCCAGTGTGAGCAGTCCTTGGGGAGGCAGCTTATGGTTTCACTTTGGCTTCTGGTTTCAGCCTTCCAAGTCCAGGATCTGGTTTGGGTTTGTACAGTACACACATTAATCAGACTCAGAAAACATGGATGAATTGGTAGGGTGCCAATTTGTTCATTTATAACTTTAAGCTTAAATTATAAAATGTAATTTTCCCATGACTGGGCTATTTGTGACCACTGTAAAAGGAACCGTGATCTTGGTATCAAGATTCCTGAGAGGCCAAATTTGAAATCAAGAGTTTGTTTGGTGAGCATGAAATCAGAGAAAAGAGCCGAAGTGAGTCATGAGACCATGGAGTACCTTGATGAAGCGTTCATAAACGTAGGACAGTGCCCCTTTCTGTGAATCAGATACCACCAGATTCACGTCTCTCTCCCTATGATAAGCACTGTCAAAATCTTGCCTATTGTTTGCTCCTTGGTCTTCTAATATTCTTATTTTCCACTTCCTTCTGTTCGCATATTCTAAGAATGATTATACATATGAGCAACAGTGGCTCACGCCTGTAATCCTAGCACTTTGGGAGACCAAGATGGGAGGATCACTTGAGCCCAGGAGTTCAAGACCAGCCTGGGCAATATGGCAAGACCCTGTCTCTATAAAAAATAGAAAAATTAGCTGGGCATGGTGGTGCACTCCTGCAGTTCCAGCCACTTGGGAGGCTGAGGCAGCAGAATCACTTGAGCCCAGGAGTTGGAGGCTGCGATGAGCTATGACGACACCACTGCACTCTAGCCAGGGTGACAGAGCTAGACCCTGTCTCAAGAAAAGAAAAAAAACATGTGAGCAACAGAGTACCTTGTGATATTTTCACATGGTGGTACCATAGCCACATTGATTGGATTTGGACATGTCTAGAAACTATGACTATATCCTCAGCCCACGTTACTTCTACTGATGGTTAGCTGATGTCTTTCATCATGTTTCTTGAGAAAGAGTAGCAGGCCTTGAAGTTGGGGATGTGAACGGGTTGTTTCTCAATGAACATGCTGATATCCCCTGAAGGATATCAAAGGTTATTTCCTTAAAACAAAACAAAATAAAAAACAAAAATGTTTCTGACATGGACTTGGCATGACCACTCTCTCCTTTATGTTCTCAGGCCACACTTCCATCATATCCTTTATAACTGTGGTCCCCAACCCAGGCAGCAGGAGGTGAGCAGTGTGCAGAGCCAGCGAAGCTTCCTCTGTATTTACAGCCACTCCCCATCACTTGCATCACCGCCTGAGCTCCACCTCCTGTTAGCTCAACTGCAGCATTAGATTCTGCATTATGGTGAGTTGTATAATTATTTCACTACATATTACAATGTAATACTAATAAAGTGAACAACAAATGTAATGTACTTGAATCATCCCAAAACCATACCCCTGCCATCCTTACCTCCCCCACCATGGAAAAACTGTCTTCCTTGGAACTGGTCCCTGGTGCCAAAAAGGTTGGGGACCGCTGCTTTATAACTCTCTGCTGTTATTTGTAAACTTGTCTGCCTCCATGGTGAACGCCCTCCTACTCTGAGCTGTAAGAATCGCTGGGACCCATGCCAAACCATGTGTTTTGAATTCACGCTGAACATAATGCCTAGAATACAGCAGGAGTTTAGTGTCCATTGACTGAATAAAGGTAAGCTTCATAACTCGGTGAATGGAACATGGGTCTCCTGTGAGTGTAAGGAAAGAGGCCACCAAAGTGCCCTAACTTGGGTAGGGAAGGGGTGGAATTTTTGGAAACAAACACTGGCAGAGAGGATTGTCAAGGAGGTGGACTTGCTCTGGGAACCAAGGAAAGTCACAGGTCTTGGAAACAGGGCTTTTGGATCCAAGCAAAGGGAGAGTGAGTGGGCGGAGGGCCGGAACCCGGGATCTACAAAGCACCAAACTGGGAGGGACAGGAGAGGGCCCAGGACACGTGACTCCACGGTTTCCCGGCAACCACAGACCCGCCCACTGCTTCCCGGCAACGCACTCCTCACTTCCTCACTCCGCGAGCTCCACTAGACCAATCGATGCACAGAACATCCCCCAGTCAGGCGGTAATTGGTGGATTCCTGGGTTCCGTCTCTCGGAAACTCAAGCACCCACTTCTTCCTGGCTGCCAGCTACACAGCTGAGCCGAGCGTTTGGAGGCTGCTCGGCAGACTGGTATGGTAGGTGAGAAGGAGTCGGGGTGCCCAGGGTTTTGTATTCCCTTCTCTGCCTCGACCTCGGAATATCAGAGAGGTCTGGGACCTGATTCATCCCTCCCAGCCAGTCCTTGAGACCGTAAAGACTGAGGCCAGGGGTCTGGACACCATGGTTTTCTGTGCAGTTCTGGACGCCCTGGGGGTGGGGGGACGCGAGGCTCCGGTGGGAGCAAAGTTTTGGTTTGGGTTTCATTCTAGCCCCTGACATCTACTCGCCTAGGGCGCTGTCCCTTTTACTTCCGGGCCTTTGCACTGGTGGGTTCTGTCGCATGGAATTATTCAGACCTTGCCTCAGGCAGCCTTCCTGATCTCTGAGGCCCCTCTTGAAAGAAGATGTCCAACCTATACTATAAGCCTAGTTAGTTATGAAAGCCTCCAGGCTCTTCGTGTAGCCCTTCCCACCTGTCCCTGCTGGGGCTGCTTTCAGTATGTTTTCCAAACAGGCAGAATGATATTGGGTAAAAACGTGAATTCTGGTGCAGCAGAGATCTGGTTTCCAATTAAGGATTCACCCTATATCAGTAAAGTGCCCTTGAGTAAACTACCCTTCTGATCCTCAATTTCTTCATATGTAGAATGGTTAAAATACCTATCTTTAAATGTTTCTGATTATTAAAATAAGAACATGAGGCACATAGCTCAGCTTCTACATAACAATGAGCACATGCCCCTTGCATTATGACAGTGTTCTCTGACAAACACTTTTACTATCTTCTGTATATGGAACTGTGAAAGACCTTTAGTCTATGTTCTATTTTTTTTTAATTAAAAAAATTTTTTTAAAATATGGAATGCTTCACAAATGTGCATGTCATCCTTGCTCAGGGGCCATGCTAATCTCTGCATCATTCCAATTTTAGTACGTGTGCTGCCAAAGCGAGCGCTAGTCTATGTTCTGTTGAAGACAGAGTTTAATTGGTTGAGGATAGAGCTGTTGCATTTTGGAGATCTTCAGAGAGAAGTGCAGGCTGGTTTGTCTACACTGGGAATGTCTAGAAATTCTTTTGTGTGTGTGTGTAGCAAAATATACATAGCTAAAATTGACCATTTTAACCATTTTTGTGTGTATAGTTCAGTGGCATTCACATTGTTGTGCAGCCATAGCCACCATCCATCTCCAGAAATTTTTCATCTTTCCAAACTTTAACTCTATACCCATTAAACAATAACTCCCCATTTCCCTTTCCCCCAGCTCCTGGCAACCACCATTCTATTTTCTGTATCTATGAATCTGACCACTCTAGGTACCTCATATAAGTGGAATCATGCAATATTTGTCCTTCTGTGTCTGGATTGTAGGAATTCCATTTTTAAAGACAAACTGTATTATAAAAACAACTTGAGTGCAGAGCCTGAAGAGGAACCCAGTTGCCCTTCTGTCATCTTTTTTCTGTAACATGAATCTGATACAAGACATTTTTCAGTTTTGTTAAAAGAAACTTCTTAAAAGCCTAATACCTTTCTTCAGTGGGTAAATAAATATCTGGGTACTGCATACTTTTACTGTATCTTTAAAGCCAGTCCTTACTCACTTGGGCTTCTGTTTTCTAGCTCTGATTCCAAATGAAAATGTTGGAGGGTGTTGACTCTACAGCTACAAGATCTGGCCGGGATCTCTGGGCTGAAATCTGTTCCTGTTTGCCAAATCCTGACCAAGAAGATGGTGCCAGCAATGCCTTCTCAGACTCCTTTGTGGATTCTTACCCTGAAAGTGAAGGCCAGAGAGGGGCAGCAGACTTTGCTGTCGAGCTGGCTGTAAAGCCTTGGGCTCCCTTGCAGGATTCAGAAATGTATTTAGCATCTCTAGGTAAGTTAGATGGCTTTTTTTGTTTGTTTTAATCGGAAGCTGGTGGTTTTAGGGAAGCATGTTGAAGTTCTGTTACATCAAACCTGATTTCCTATTCTTCCCCTCGCCCCTCACCACATGTGTCTACCAGATATAATTCTAAGGGGTGTTTCAGGTTTGTTTTTAGGAAACAATCCCTCTTTCCTGGAACATCCCTCAAAACAGTTTTTGTCACCTCTTGCCTCTGGCCATTTCATCTAAATTCTGTTTTATTTCTTAGCTTTCTGTAGAATCATCTTGTCTACTGTTGCTTGCCCATATATTCACATAACCTTAAACCATCCTGCAAGAAAAGGTCATGGCCCTGGAGCTACATGGGAATTTCTGATGCTAGAGTTTAAAAAATGGTATATTAAATAGATTGATTGACGGGAATGGGAGGATGTTGACATAAGATTCATTTTGTCTCTTGTTAGCCATTTTGTTTATTTATTTAGACACAGGATCTCGCTCTGTTGCCCAAGCTGGAGTACGGTGGTGCAATCATAGCTTACTGCAGCTTTGAACTCCTGGGTACAAGTGATTCTCCCACCTCAGCCTCCTGAGTAGCTGGGACTACAGGTGTGTGCCACCACACCTGGCTAATTTTTAAATTTTTTGTAGAGATGGGGTCTCATTATATTACTCAGGCTGGTCTCAAACTCTTGGCCTCAAGCGATCCTCCCAAAGTGTTGGGATTACAGGCTACCGCATCTGGCTGCCATATTATTTTTTTACTATTTCCTGAGCACATTTTCAGGGTCTTGTCCTGTGGCCATAGTGTACGTATCAACAGAGACTGCAAACATAGGAAAGAGATTCAGATTGTACCACACTAGAGGACAAAGAAATATCCAGTGATTGCCAGTCTTTAGAATTGCGGTATCCTTTTATTGTGGAACAACTATGAGACCCATCTTCGTGTCCCAAAACCAAACCTGGGAATAATTATTTGAGGAAGAAAAGGCAATTCAGGAAGAGGAAGCTTTTGAGAAAGGACAGAAAAAAGAGTCAGAAGAGCGCTTACATGATTGCTAAGAAATGTCTTGGGAAAACAGAAGAAATTTTGTTAATGATGTACTAGAGGGAAAAGATATGAGAAAAACACAAGTAGAATGATGGAAAGATAAGGGAGTACTGTGAAATTTTTCAGGAGGCCACCAAAGATAGGATAGTAATGTTTGCAGCCATGGCCAAAGGAGTTGAAAATTCTGCATGTGGTAGCCAGAGCATCTCCTTAACAATGATAAGCAGAAGAAGCAACAGTCTAAGAAAGCTGAAGAACCAGAGCCTTTGGTTTGTTGGTGCTATGTGACCAGGGGTTATAAGAAACTTTCATGGAGATGGTGATGTGGAAAAATTAGTTTAGAAGATAATTAAAATTTCGTTCTCTGAGGAAATAAGAGCCATTTCTGTTGCTTATGGCAAGGACTGGGAGCCAATGGCAGGCAGGTTTAGAATATCTGTTAGCGCTTGTTTCTGCCTGCACTATAGAGACCATACCTGATCAGGAACTCAGCACCTTCAGAGAGGGAAAGACCTTTTCCAGCTCAAAAGAGTACCTTCAACCTTGACAACCAAGGCCAGACAATATGAAGATTGTTTTTATTGCCAAATAAACCTATATTAAAGAGAATTCATTGGTAACAGCAATGATTAAAAACTTAGCCAGTTAAATGTGTGATATGTATAACCTATTTACATCTTCGAGGAGAAAGCAAAATCCCACAAATATTTATCAACTGTAGATTTTTTACATGGGTGAGCTTTTGGTGGTAACTTACAGGAACAAAAGGTATTTTAATAAATGGATGTTAGCTGATGTGACTTTTTAAGAAATGGAAACAGGATTGCAAATTATAGTTTCTATTGGTTCTGAGCTTAATGTTCACCCCCTCCCCAAAAGTCATCATTTACCCGTGTATTTTTAGTTGAAGACAAGACTACATTAAGGCAAAAGGTAAATGGTGATGTCCTTTCTTATATTCTTCAAAAGAGGAAATCTCTTCAGCAATTATACTTAAAATCTAAAGAAGAGTAATTAAACGTCTATTATCAAGAAGCCATATGGACCACTCTCAAGGGATTACAAGATGTTTGTTTTTATTAGTCTCTAACATCCAGGCCACAAGTTTTGCAACTTTAAAAGATATTAGAAGATTGTTTTTCTTTGATCAAGAATTTAATCACACGTAGAGATCTTAAAGGTCTCTTAGTATTGAGTTCTCATCAAGTCAATTTTAGTGTCTTATGAACCATTGGATCTCTCATCATTTTCTCTAATTCTTTCTCGTGAGGTTTAGAAACTACTTCATGTCACTGTAACAAAAAGAAAAACTATTTACTCCTCAGATTATTTCCAAGAAGTTGAAAAAAGGCCATAGTATACACATGTCAAGCCAAGGAAAACAAGCATTTCTTAGAGAGATACCTGCTGGGCTTATGTGATTTCAAAGAAAACATGCCATTGATTATTTATGAGAACCTATGACTTTTCCCTTTTCTGGGGCTAAACATTTATTTAATACAATGCAGGGTGAGGACATTGTGAAGGAAAAAGAAGAATGTTCAGTCTTTTATCTGTACTTAAAGAATGACCTCTTCTGCAGGGAGTATCGATGCACTCTTCAGTGAGAGAATTTTTAAGTTGGCATTTTGCATTTTAGATTTAGTTAAAATTTTGTGTCATACTTTTCTTGTTAAGCTTCACTTCTCTCTCTGTAGAGAGGAAACTGAGAAGAATCAAAGGTTTAAATCAGGAAGTCACTTCGAAGGACATGCTTCGAACCCTGGCCCAAGCCAAGAAGGAATGCTGGGATCGGTTCCTCCAGGAGAAGTTAGCATCAGAGTTCTTTGTGGATGGACTTGATTCCGATGAGAGGTAATTGATTCCCAGTGCAGTTCCAGGTGACTGTCTATTTCACTGAGAGCATTTCCCTTTCTCTGAAGAATTCAGAGATAGTGACATCTGAGTCCTGATACTAGTTGACATTAGCATCAGCAATTCTGAGCTGAAATCAACCTTTATAATGTTGCTCTATTTGCTCTTAGGCCAGCAGTAGATTTTTGAGGATGAGGGGTTTTTTTTTGAGACTGAGTCTTGCTCTGTTACTCAGGCTAGAGTGCAGTGGCGTGATCATAGCTACTGCAGCCTCAAACTCCTGAGCTCAAGTGATCTCCCTGCTTCAGCCTCCAAGTAGCTGGGACTACAGGTGCATGCCACCATACCGGCTAATTTTTTTTTACTTTTGTAGAGACGGAATCTCACTATGTTACCCCAGGCTGGTCTCAAACTCCTGGCCTCAAGCGATCCTCCCACCTTGGCCTCCCAAAGTGCTAGGATTACAGGCATGAGCCATACTCCCAGCTTGATTTTTGTTTGTTTGCCAAAAGGCAAACACCCCAGCTAGATCTTGGTCACAGATTGAATAGAGTTGAGGATAAACCATTGTCTTCATTTTTAAGTATGCAGTGCACTTGAGAAAGTAGTAATCAGTGAACAACTATGTCTTCTTACCTCTGAAATTCCATTGCATTACAGAGTTTCTGTCATATTTTAGCTACTCATTAAGATATGTACACTAAATGAAAGAATTTATTAAGTATCTGCTATGTGGTAGCACTGTACTGGGTGTCTTAGGAGGGAGGAAGTTTTATTTATTTAATTTTATTATTATTTTTTGGGCCGGGGGGACAGAGTCTCACTCTGTTGGCTGGGCTAGAGTGCCGTGGTGTTAGCCTAGTTCACAGCATCCTCAAACTTCTGGGTTCAAGCGATCCTCCTGCCTCAGCCTCCTGAGTAGCTGGGACTACAGGCACATGCCACCATGCCTGGCTAAGTTTTTCTATTTTTAGTAGAGACGGGGTCTCACTCTGTTGCCCAGGCTGGTCTCGAACTCCTGTTCTCAAGCGATCCTCCTGCCTCGGCCTCCCAAAGTGCTGGGAATACAGGTGTGAGCCACCGTGCCTAGCCCGTGATTTGGTATTTACATATATTGTCTTTCCCCTTGAATATTTCCCTCCTCTCCAGTTCTGAGAAAAAAAGACAAAATTTTCTCTTGTGTAATTCTCAAGTAGGAATTTTTCTCTGTCTGAAATCAGATCAGCATGTTTCTGGGTATTATCAATACATAAAATAATGTGGTTTTCCCATATCTATAGAAATAATTTGAACAATTCTATGAAAAGTGTTGTAGATGAAGATTAAATGCCATGTCACCTGATTCTCCTGCCCTGTGGGCACCAGGACCAATCAGGTGCTCCCACTGCCTTCTGACGTTTGAGTTTTTCTCCTCAGCCCGCATCTGTGGGAACACTTCTTATCATTGTTCAGAACAAGCACCAGGAAACAGTAGTTATGTGTTTGTTTTCAAACTTCACAGTTTATGTTTTAAACAGAGGCCATCTTGCAGTGGATTTGTGTGGCATGTGAGAGCCAGGCAGGTGATCCTCCTTGGGATATGCTTTTGGAAGGGAGTGATGGGCTGAGAAATCCCACTGTCCAAAATAGAATTCCTCCATACATTGATATATGTCTAAAATTTGGTGTTACGGCTTTATTTCTTGGATCAAGACCTTGTGCTATTGAAGGACATAGAATGGGGTTTACATTATCTCTAGTCATGTATATTTTACTGTGAATGTCTAATAGCTTTAGGGTGGAAGATCCTGAGTACTTAAGGAAGGTGCGTCGGGGGGACCATGAGCTTGATAATCACACCTACCCCATCCCTATAGATCCAAACAAAAAGAGAGCCCTCTGGCATAGTGGTCATTCTCTTGTGGGGAACATTTGCCCAGATATTGTCATCTTAGGGACTTGCTATAGGATGAAACAAACCCACAAAAAACAAAAAAAATCACACTTAGTGCAAGTAAGTGCTGTAACTATATTGAGCCCCATACTGCCTCAGGGATAAGAGGCATAAGATGCTAACCTTTCTGCCACACTAATAATTTGGTATTTATTTGAGTGTCTCCTCCCTGTAATAATTTCTCTCCTCTCCAGTTTTGAGGGAAAAAAGATAGGACTGAGGCATAAACTCTTCAGCTATTCTTATCAAGCCTTCAGAGGCTCTGCACTTGAAGGGAGCCTGGTACTGCTTATAGCCAGAGTGCCCACTAGGGGGTAAATTGTGCCTCGGAGCTGCCAGGATGCACAGCTGTCAGAGGAGTATCCTTGTCCTCCCCGTGTTAGCAGCAAAAAACAATTGTAGGAAGAAATTGGTGGTGGGCGGGAATGCAGTATTTGAGTAACTGAGATAATCATTAAGTAATTAATCAGGGAGGTCTGATACAGCCGCCCTTTTCTTCTGCTCTTTCGTAGCACCTTGGAACATTTCAAGAGGTGGCTGCAGCCAGATAAAGTAGCCATCAGCACAGAGGAGGTCCAGTATCTGATTCCTCCAGAGTCACAGGTTGAGAAGCTGGCAGCCGGGGAAGAGCCAGCAGCCAGGGAGGAGCCACCGGCAGCAGAACAATAAATACACGCACTTGGAGCAGCTGTCTCGGGTCCAGAGGGAACAGTGGAGAACTCGGCGGCGGCAGCAAGGAGAAATCTAGGGAGGGAAAAAGCCCAAACTTCCACTCCACCAAGAAAACAGCTGGAAGCCCCTGAGGACTTACTTGGGGCTGGGATGTGTAACTGTCTTGGATGAAGTGACTGACCCAGCCGTGTGCTGGATCAGAATACTGCTTTCCTCTGTGTCTCACAGCTTCACTGAAGTCTGTTGCTGCAGGTTAGAAGTCTGCTAAGGATCTAGTGAAGGACCAAGTATGAAAGTACTTGGAGAAACTGAGACCCTTGGTGTGTAATGTATAAGTTAAGTAAGCCATATTTTTCCTTGCCTCTTCTGGATATTCATGCCTGTGTCCCCACCAGGTCAGGGGGGAGTGGGGCCAAGGAGAATGAAGTCTGCCTCCTTGAATCCAAACCCCATGTGGGGCTTCTCTAACAAATCCGTAGTAAATACAGGGACTCTACGGAAAGGGGCTTGGCTTCTCCTTTCTCTCATTTGTTCCTTGTGGAGAAAATGGGTGAAAGAAGTATGAAAATGTGGGTGTTTATGTATGTGTATGTATATTTTTATTTCATGCATGGCTTCTCCCCCAACTTCCTCCTGCATTCAAAAAGGGCCAGGTTCCAAATTAGACTTGTAAATACAGTGTTAGTGTTTGGCACTACTCCTGAATAGTTCCAAACTTGTTCCTTGTGGCAGCTTTCCTGGCTGAGTCTGAGCTCCACGCCTTGTTTGTTGCATTATTGTTCAGTGTGTGTTGTCATATAAAACTTCTCATCAGAAGAGCTGTGTGTGTGGTGCTGTTGACCCAATTCTTCCTCCCAGACGATGCTCTCAGGCAGTGGGGAGGTAGGGACAAATGCACTCCAACACATGGGAGCTGGTAGCCGTCACCAGCCGTCACCTATTTCTAACACGTGCCCTTTGACAGGCCAAACCTTGGTGTTCTGAGGGTAGGATTCTGAGGCCATGTCTCCATGGAACTTCTTCCTGGGTAATAGTTTCCAAATCCCTAATGATGAACAGGGTGGCTATAAAAATCTTCAGAGAACATTTGTTCATTTCTAAATCAAGTGTTTGCCCTGCCCACAAGGGTAGGAACCAAGTAGGTGATTCCGTATACTTCCATATACTTAATGTTATGAATTTTTTTTTTTTTTTTTTTGAGACGGAGTCCTGCCGTGTCACCCTGGGTAGAGTGCAGTGGTTTTCAGATATACTTTCGTCTTTTTTCTTTGACTAATGGTTTAGCTTTAGACCCACTGCTTTTTATTAGTAGGATACCTTTGACATAGACATAAAGAGTGGCCCCTAGCACTTTGAGAAAGCCAGAGCACTGATGATCATCTGGCCCTGGACCAAGCTTGTGAGCCGCCCTCTCTGCCTGGGCTTCGGATGCCATCTGATGGCTTTCAGCTGGATGGATAAACTAAAAAAAAAAAAAAAAGAAACGAAGATTTTTCTTGTCCCTGCATGATAAACAAAAAATTATTCTTCCCCAGTAACAAGAATTTAAGGGGAAAAAGCAATGAGGTCTCAAAACTCTCACAGAGAGCAGCTGGTCACAGGACGGTAAGAGAATGTTTCTGTACCAGAAAATAATGTTCTGTCATTCAAGCAAGATCCTACCTTCCCTTTTCCCTACCTCCCATTTTCTGCTTCCAAAACAAAAATTGTAGTATGAGAGGGTAGAGAGTTGATATAGAGGAACCAAAAAGGAGTTGTAGGACGGAAAGTTTTCGAGCCTCGTATGAAAACATGGACGAGGTGTGAGAGGAAGGCCCCAGATCTTTAGCCACTTTCTTGGTGAACTCTGCAATAGGGATAGGTCTCCCCAGAAGGGAACCCAATGAATTGTAACTATGGTTTCTTACTTGGTATAGAGATGACAACTTAAGCAATGGCTCTAAAAAAGGTGAAAATTTACCAAAACCAAATTTGATATTAGTTCCCAAAGCTAACTAATATAGATTTATCTTAGGTTATTGAAGTGGCAGTAAATTTGAAACTGAGAGTCTTGGGTGCTATCTTTGTCTTGTGGCTTACTGAGTAGTCATAAATAAGTCAAGTGACCTCTTTGTGTTCCAGTTCCCTTTTAGTAATTGGACTAACCATAGGAAAAACATTACTGGCCCCAAGTGCCTATCTGTTTCCTTTGACCCTGAAAACTCCAAGGAACTCCAGTTAGGACTTCCTCAGAGCAGTACAGTTTATGATTTGGGAGAGCCTTACTTATCACCCCTAACTTTCTTTCTCCCTCGTCCTTAATGAAACCAAAAGTTAGAGCAAAATGGAGCAATATTTAGTGCTAAGCCTTAGAGCAAGGGTAAGGTAATCACCAACAGGGCAAAACAGTAATGACTTGGTATACCCAGAGAAGACTGGGCTGGAGCCAGGGAGATAAGCAGAGTGACTGCTACTGTTCTTTCCTGGCACATGCACTGATCACCCAGCGCTTGGCGAGGTCAGTGCTGGAATGGCATGGGCTTGCGTCCAGTACCTGCTCCAGAAATAGGCTGTGGATGTAGGCACAGCAAGTAAACATCCCACCAGCTGTTGCTGAGGTGCATCCCTCCCAGGCAGACCTGCCCACCAGGGCCAATGCTGGAAGAGGGAAGAGGTCCTAGAGCCACTCCCTGGCCCTGCCTTGGCGTGAATCCCCTGAGGCTGAGAACAGCCCAAGTCACATTAAACAGCCAATATTTTTTTGAAAATTCTAAACTATCCCAACAAGCTTTGGCCCTACTTTAGTCATAAGACTTAAAATAGGACACTGCCAGGCTGGGTGCAGTGGCTCACGCCTGTAATCCTAGCACGCTGGGAGGCTGAGGTGGGAGGATCGCTCAAGGTCAGGAGTTCAAGACCAGCCTGAGCAAGAGTGAGACGCCGTCTCTACTAAAAATAGAAAGAAATTAGCTGGACAACTAAAAAAATACATATATAGAAAAAATTAGCCGGGCATGGTGGCACACACCTGTATCCCAGCTGCTCTGGAGACTGAGGCAGGAGGATTGCTTGAGCCCGGGAGTTCGAGGTTGCAGTGAGCTACAATGACACCACTGCACTCTACCCAGGGAGTCTCAAATAACAACAACAACAAGAAACAAGACAAGACACTGCCATAGCAATCTTAGGTTTGTGGGAGGGCTGTTTACTTGAGCCCAGGAATGGGTTATTTAAGGCACAGATTCATTGATCGAATCAATATTCCTTGAGCTCCTCAACACAGTGCCATGCTCCAGGCATTATGCATGGTGTCGAATAAAGCCAAACCATGGTTCCCACACAGAATGATAGAGGGGCAGATAGGGCCTACCTGATTAATGCTGTGGGAAGTGTAAGCATAGGGTGCTTTAAGAGGACATGGGAAGGAGATATGAAAGCCCTAGGCCAGACGACGTGGAGGCAGGAGAGAGGCAGCGATAGGGAAGATGAGTCCAGAAAAACAAGTAGGAGCAAGAGGAAATTGAGGAATAAGAGCATGGGGCCAAGAAGAGTCCTGGAAGAGGAAGACAGCATGTACAAAGGCTTAAAGGCGAAGGAAAATTCGGAAGGTGGAAAGTAGTTCAACGTAGCTAGAACACAAAGAGCAAAGGACGAAGAGACAAAGGTGAGGGTGGAAATGAATAAACAAGACCAGATGTGAAGGGCTTTATAAACCATGTTAAGGAGTTTGGAATTTATTATGGGGAAACAGGGTGATTTTAAGAGGTGTATAAGAAGATCAGATTTGCATCTAGAAAAATGGTTATGGCTGCCATGGGGTTGACATGATTAAATTGATTGGGGGCAGACAAATTATTATTATTTTTTTTTTTGAGACAGATTCTCACTGTGTTGCCCAGGCTAGAGTGCCGTGGCGTCATCCTCGCTCACAGCAACCTCAGACTCCTGGGCTCAAGCGATCCTTCTGCCTCAGCCTCCCGAGTAGCTGGGACTACAGGCATGCGCCACCATGCCCGGCTAATTTTTTCTATATATTTTTAGTTGTCCAATTAATTTCTTTCTATTTTTTTAGTAGAGACGGGGTCTCACTCTCGCTCAGGCTGGTTTCGAACTCCTGAGGTCAAACAATCTGCCTGCCTCGGCCTCCCAGAGAGCTAGGATTACAGGCGTGAGCCAGCGCGCCCAGCCAGACAAATTATTCATACTTGGCAATGATATATCCACATGAAGTGATGCAATTAGAGGGCTCATGGTCTTTCTTTGTTTTTCTTTTCTACCTTGTGTTTTTGTTGGTCATTTTTTCACTGTTGCAGAACAAATAGAACCATGTATGGCAGATTGTGTTTTCCAAAGATTATATCACATCCCACATGTTTATGTTATAGCATGATACAGACACTCCTCCACTGAGATGCTGGGTCAATATTCTCTCTTTTGAACCCGAACAGACCTATGTAACTGCCTTGCTAATAGAATACAGAACAAATAATGTGACTTCTAAGCCTAGGCCATTCCACCTGGGGTCTTTCTCTCTCTCTCTCAACATGTTCTCGGCTGTTCTGAGCTAACGTGTAAGAAGTGAGCCACAGAAAGAGAGAGAGTGAGGTGCCCAGGGAGGGAGTCCGAGCTTTTTGAGTCTTCCCACCCCAGGCCTCAGACGTATGAATGATTCAAATGATAACAGGCCCCAGCCTTCAAGCCATCCCAGCTGACACCAAATGGAACAGAGACAAGCTGTCCCTGCAAAGCACTGCAGATTCATGAACAGAATAAATGCCATGGTTTAAGCCACTAAGTTTTGGGTTGATTTGTTAATCAGCAGTGAATGACCAATACACCATGATCTAGATCACAGATTTTATGTTGATAGTTTTAAGTATTTTATTTTGGAGTCCTCTCCAGTTTGTGATGCTTTCAGAATTTTAATACTTCTGCTGGTTACAGTTGGAGGGGACCAGCTGTGAAGTGGTTGCAGTTGTCTAAGAAAGAGATGATAATAACTTGAGGACTTTTTCCACTTCGGATGGAGAATGATGCAAGAAAATGTTGCTTCTACTATAACACTGTGAAAAAGCCAGATAATCTACAAAATCATAACTTTTCTGGAGCCCTTCAGAAAGCTGAGATCATGAGACAACCAAGTAAAGCCCCTCTAAGGAGAGATAGCAACACATGAACTGTTTCAACTTTGGCAAAGATGTGACTATCATTACAAGTGGGTCGAAGAAACCAAGAAAAATATTAACAAAATGTTAACACATTAACTGCCATGTGAGCTGTAGTTAACTCGCCCCTTAGTTTTAAGCCTGGGGCCTTGTGAAGCAAAACCTGGGCAAAACCCTGCAGTTGGTTTGTGAAAATCTTACTTGATGTTCTTATTGTTACAATTAATATTGACAAATTAATCCTAAAAACATGGATTAAATAAATTGAAGTCAAGAAATTTCCTTTTTCATTAGATTAGAAAGGATCATTTTATTTTCAAACTTTTTTTCTATTTTCATAATAAAACACTGTGGCCCCCAAAGAAAAAAATTTTTTTCTAGTATGGCAATCAATGTGTTAAAGAGTATATGTAGGCTAGCACGTCAGTTTAGAGTAGCTGGATACTATTCCAGACACAGGAGAGTTTGCGCTCACAGGCAACCGTTTCTCCACAGGCCTCTGCTAGGGTTCATGAGAAAAAGTGGCAGCAGGGCGGGAGATGGAGGGAGCTTTCCTCCTTGGTGATGCAGACATGCGGGAGTTGATTAGGAGGCTATTGGTGGAAAGCAGAAAGCCTCGACTGCTTCCACATTCGTCTCCTTTAAGCAAAAGCCTTAAGCCACTG